AAACTATTGTCAATGTCGGGTTAAAGTTGTTGTTCTAAAATGTGCGGCAATCTAACAACATGTCAAACAACATTACAAAAACTGAAAGACACTCTTATTTATTGTAGTGGAAAAGGTAATATTTCTTTCAATTTCATTTTCCGGTACTTGATAGAGTTTGTTATTTGTATATGCTATCAGAGTTGTCGGCAAGGCTGTATCGTGATCCAATCAGTACACGCGTTTTGAAGCTTTGTTATTGCGTGAAATCACGATTATATTTATACATGAAAATGAAATGAAAATAATGTTAAATACCTAATATTTTTATAAGTCAGCATCCTAAATCTCAACAAGGTACCATCTTTTTTTTAAATATGGCATCAAGATATGAAGGTTATAAGGTCGATGATTGGTCAAAACAGATAGTAGTACCCCTTTTATAAACCCGCCCCGTTGAGGTACGCGTGTACGAGTAACGGCGGTTGTAGTGGAGGCACGCATCCGGTGATGAATTTGGTACCCATATGCTGTCCTACAGAGACACGTCGTCTCAAAATACGTATGAAAGGGGCGTTGCCCGTTGCTGTTATTGCTCGGTGTTGGTAGTTAGATGTTTGTTTTTTTGTTTTTTACGTTTGTGTGTATTGATTATTATTTTCCAATTTTTATGCAATTATATGCAGCGGCCCGTCCATATTTTCATAATGTTGTCATCCAGCAGGAAATAGCGGCCCATCAAAATCTAACCACATGCGTTACTTTGATATGTTATTTGCGTTTAAAGTGACTTGCATTTTTCATTCACGGGTCAACGCACTACATATGTTACACTGATTTATTTTAACGCGCCACACACAATACAATGCATAGGCGGATAGTTAGATGCACAGATGGAGAGACAGAAGTGCTGCGTTTCCATGGAAGCGAAGGATTAAAAAAAAATATTTCAAAATATATAGTATGAAGGAGTTCAAGATAAAAGTCATTCATAGCCTGTTCATTGATAAACCGTTTGGATTAACCTCACACTGTGACCTGGCATATTATTTCTAGAATAGATTCGATACGATATTTAAGTAGTGTACGCAAATCTATATTGTGTTACAAGTAGAGACGCACTTAAATTTACTTGTGTTTCACTATATGGCGTTTACACACAGGTGATCGACAAAAAAAACTCACTTAACTTTAAAGGGCACAGAAGAATTCAATATCACAAACGTGTATGCTAATCCGCATCAAACTTTATGTATGTTGTGTTTCAATGGCGATGGTCGTTGCCCCGCGTGCTGTTCGATATAAAACTCATAGCGACGTACAAAACGCGTGTAGACTACTCGGTTTGTTTATATGAAATTCGAACACGCGGCGACGACCACCGACTGCCCTTTAAAGTCTTCTCTGTTGCTGCTCACGATAAGAGAACCATTACTCCAGGACCAAAATGTGTATTGGAATGACCAATTTTGTCGTCATGGTTACCGCACGCCCCGCTGATAGTTCGTTGCCAACAGCAAGTAACTAAAACCGATATAATGTAGTAAATTTATTTATGTTTTTGCTTACAACGCCACGGTCTTCAAACCGCGCTGTGTGTGTGTGTGTGTGGGGGGGGGGGGTTCCATGCGACGTGGGCGGTGTGCGACGTGCAATAATACATTGTTTGTTAATACGAATTTTGAACGCGCGCTGAATGGTGACTGTTACAATATTACCATCATTATTTTTACATAACATGAAACATAAAACGAAAAGATCAAAAAGTGAATATTAAAAAAATACACTTATCATCAGGCCAGATAGGATACAACCCGGGGCAAACATATACAAGAGTAATGTTTCGTCTTAATCGATTCTGAATATGCATAAGAATGGTAACCATAGTAATAGTTTATTTCTGCATACTGACACTAGCGTAAAGCATGTACAATTTGGAACAACTGGTGGTTGTCATGGTAATCAACTACATCATGTATCTGTTTACTGATAAATAATGTAAATTGTCCCCAAAAATTGATACAATTAATCAATAGATATCAAATAGCACGTGACGGTACGTCAAGCTCGTCTGACTGAACACGTTCATGTATTTTTTATTAATTTGGTCTATATTCTTTAATTTATTTCTCGAACTCGCCTGGTTCTAAAAAAAGTATGCCTTACGTTTCATCTATACTACTCATATTGTGTTATTTTAAAGAATAGCTGTGTTAATACATACTGTATAAGGATTAATTATTCACTGGGTTTTAATTTTGCATATTTCGCTGACTGGAAAATGCGCTAAATTAAAACCCAGTGAATAACAAACAAATTAGCATAGAACACATTATCTAAATGATAAAACCCACTGAATATGCCTGAAATGGTTAATCAGCGAAATTTAAACCCAGTGAAAATTAGTAATTTTACAGTATATTGGCATAATATAAAATATGATCGATTAGTTACCTCTTTCCACGTATCTATGGATACCGAGGTTGTAGGCTGCGGACATTAAGCATGGCATGAATGACGGAGAAAACATGCGATATGATGATATTTCGATGTATGAAACTGGCAATTGTATGGGTGTTTTGTTTGTTTTCAGAGAGAAATTTGTTATTAACGCGGCAACAAAAAGCACATCGGTTATTCGTAAAGTGGTCGCGCTGCATTAAACGATTACTGCTTGGTATTGTCAGCAAAGATCACGCACCTAACTAAAAAATACATGCAGATCTCTTCCTAAATATAACTAGTTTGTGTTACCATAAATATGTGTACTTTCAGTTTGCCATGACACCTGTTGGTGTTGGTGTGATACGTGAAGACGAACATAGCGATCTCAATCGGTTCGTCAACTTATTACGTCACAGCGAATATTCTTGCATTTATACTAATCGTAAGAGGGCGCTCATACTGCTACGAGACAAAAAAACGTACATGGTTTGCTCAAATGGTCGAGTTCCGCGAAAAAGCACCCGAGAACCAGCATCCGTCATCATTTTATAGCAAAATTAAATTCCCAGTCCAACATAATCAACATAAGTCAGGATCTCTTTCACGATGAATGGCAAAACAACATATTGTAGAAATGGCTTGAAGGTAAACGCCGAAACACTATCAAGAAATGGATTTAATGTCCTCGTGAATTGAAAACAAGATTGCTATGGTAATTTACCTGTCAAGTAACCACATAGTGACGGAGTGGTGTGACGTCGATAATTTTGGGTCGCGAGGAATGGTTGGCCACATCGTCAATATTAATTTGATCTCTAGTCGCCTGTCACTAAATGTTTCGTGAAATTTCCTATATTATTAATTCCAGAAAGACGATGTGCACCACGAGAGGGCGCGGTATTACTAGAATAGATCAAATGCGTGTTTCGAATTTCAGAGAAGATTTTGAAAAGGTTGTACTGGTTGGTTTTCGACCCAATTTCTGTCGTATATATAATAAAAACGCTCGCCGTGCTAGAAGTTTGAGGGAAATTTGCCAGATAATGGTTTACGTATACAGAAAAATTATCGTCCCGATGGGCACCATTAAGCAAATAAGTGTTCTGTTTGCAAATACTGATCTATAGTTTGGGAAGCCAATACATTCGGTGGAGCACTACATAACTTGCTAGTTGCTTCCTCAGACTGTTGACTTTTTAACTTCAATTAATAATCACTTGAGAAGTTATTTTGGCTTGTGTGTGAATCTTTCTGTCTAAGGCGTGTCCCTCGTACAGCGACCCATTCACAACGCTTTGAGAATGTACGTGTATTTGTTTACTTTCCACTAATTTTTGTTTTAAACTTTGGTGAACCATGTGCCATTATATTGTATGGTATTCACCAACACCAGGAACTAACAGAGTTTTTCGATAGTAAAATCCCTCGCTGTGAGCTCAAGTCACAGTTCTAGAGGCCGTACCTACACACGATTTGGTGACATCATAAAATTCATGTCGTGTAAACTGTAGGTTGCACGTGACAGCACACTATCCTCGGGGGGGGGCGGACATCCGGGCATTTTCACCGCCTGGCAACCCGCGGCGGTGAAAACAAAGGCCCAAACTCGCAGAAAACGGTACTTTGGGATGATTGTTGAGACTCCTCTGAACAGTGTAACAAGATTAGCTCTACGTGTGTAACATATATAAATTTGGTTGTTCAGGATTACTTCAAAGTTGAGTTTGTGTTGTTTTCTCGAATTTTCACCGGCTCGACCGGCGTTCCACAGCAGCGCGCACAGAGCCCGTAGAAATGCATGTACAGTGGTGCGCGTCGTAGCAACGTGGAACGTCTTGTGACGTAGCTCCGCCCCCGAGGATACCAGGTAGTGGACTCGGTAGTGGCGGATAAGGGCTTGACAACGCTAGACAAATGATATGGATGTACCGACAGTATAACTCTTTTCATGTTTGTTTTTTTCAGACATGGGTTATGTATATGCACTGGAATCCCACAAGAATGATTTTTAGGGATTTTCGTCGACCATATTCATACATGTAATTCAATGAGAATGATAAAATTACATTCGTGTCTTGTATGAGGTGTCAGTGTTTGATATCTCCGTCTACAGAGGTTTTCTGTAGTGAACGACATTTCATGTGCAAATATCGAACGCAATAGTCGAACATATTAATATATGATGAAAATTAATGAAAATGTTACGTTTAGCTACCTCCGCAAAGTAAGTAATGTGACGGCAGCTTTAAGTAACCATTGACATACCTGATACGTCTGAAGGTAGACGTGCCAAATTAAAGAGACGGTTATAAAATTAGGCTAAATCTATTTAGTTCCATTGGCCATAAGAATAATTGAAAAATAATTATTAATTAAAAACAAAGCAAACAGGTTATGGAAATCGATATCGTTAGTATGCACCGTCGACGTCACCATGTCCTTTGTTTCATTTTTGGTCATTCACTTACGATCTTACCGTCGATCTTACCAGGTGAAACATTCAACTTGTCTGGCGCCCTCAACATTTATTGCACGAATGATTTTGTTTTAATTTCCCGCCAAATATCAAAATACAAATGGCTTCCCATACGACGAATGGAGTATCCCTGAACGGCAACGGGATAACCAAATGTGAGCGACCGAAAGTCGGCGTTGGAGTACTTATCTCAAGTCCTAATCATCCAGGGTGCATACTCATTGGCAAACGGAAAGGAAGCATCATGGGTGCCGGAAAGTACGCTCTTCCCGGAGGTCACCTGGAGTTTGGGTACGTTTTTTTTGTAATATTGACGTGTCAACTAGAGGCATTATAATATATAACATGCGGCCTTAACATTGACGTATTTCTTAGTGTGCTGGGACAAAACATTTGGACTATTATAACATTCATACTTACTGATACCGATTATTTTTATATGGACCTAGAAACGCAAAAGCCGCCTGTGCGTATATGAAGGGGTCATAACAGGGTCAATAAGACGAGCGTGAAACCAGCTTTTTCCTGTGGTGATCTGCACATGCGTCACATGTCCTAAGTGTTATTGTTTACAAACAAGCGTCCACTTATGACATTTGCGTTTCAAGCACGCGTTGTTATCGTGGGTTGCAGAAGGTCTATGATTGGGACTCATTTTACGCGCGTGCGCAGGTGACGACTCCTCCGCTTTAATTAATCACATGGATTACCATACTTTTTACACAATAAAAATGTACAAAGCAAATAAATTTTTATTTTAATTTTATAAATATTTTGTTATTATTTATTTCAACTGTCCCTTTCTTTTAGGTTTTCAGAGTTACCACAACTTTGAAAAAACAACCAGCAATTAAAAAAATGAAAAATTAGGCCAGGAAAAACAAAAGTTTTAAAATCAGGTGGCGAAGCGATTTTTTTTTTGATTTTTTTTTTTTTGAATACTGATCTAAAATGGGGGAAATTTGAGACAAGTGCGAGTATTTTGGAATGTTTTAGACGAAAAAAAACGTTTGAGGTGCATAGTTCAAAATGATGCTCGGAAACGAGAAACAGATATTTTTTTCTCAGCCTTATATATATGAAAAAAATAATAATTATAAATTACTACCACAAATAAAAAAAGCCCTCACTAGAATATTCTTTTGTGATTGACTTTTTGTGATGTAATTAATACTTTATTAATTTGACAAAAAATACATTTGAATCTGAGGCTCGCATCACAAATACCCACATGCAAATATTTTATTGACAGAGGATAGTCAGCTGATGTTCTGCAGTGCAATACAACTGGCAGAATACTGTAATAATCAGGTAATATGAAATCTGGGGTCTGGGGCTTTTTTGTTTTTTGTGAATTTTGTATTTGCATCTATCACAATTCGTATATAATACAGACATGCTTACTGTCTTGTTCACAAAA